TAATTTTTATTTATTTAAATTTTATAATATTACATATATTTAATTATTTAATAATATATAAAAATAATAAAAAAGTTATTTTTATATCATTTTCCTAATTGAAATGTTCGGTAGAGATTGATTCAGGGTGTGCCTTCATCCTTTTTATACCGCTAACTTCTTGTCTTCTCCACTCAATTACCTTGAAAAAAGGGATGAATTTTGTGCCCATTTGCAGCTAACTAATCCTTATCTTCTCTTACCATGTATCTTTCATAATTGTTTTATTAAATCTCTTAATATCTAAAGGTTATAATCCACTTTGATTAATTTAAAATTAAATTAAGTTAAAATCTATAAAAAAAAAAAACTCTTTTAATATTTATATCTCTATTCATAAAATTTAAATTTAAAATTTTATTTAAATTAAAAAAAAAAAAAGAAGAAGAAGAAGAAGAAGAAGAAGAAGAAGAAAGAAGACAAACTCTTTACATTTCAACCATTAAGTACGAAATCTTCCATATTAACAAAACATAACCAACCCTGGGGTTAAAGCTCCACTTGTCTAATAACTTATTACAAAGACACCTTCGATGATTACAGAAAAGACATTTCAAAAGTAAAAAAACATAATATTCCATTCAAAGAATTAAGAAACAAAATATTCCTCCAATCACTTATGGTGGTAACAGAATGACGTTGACCACTAATGTCTCTTGTTCCTCTTATCTATTTTGTAATGTCTTTTCTATTTTTGTAGTGTTCTTTTTTTGTTGTCTTATCTTCATGGGCACTGATTTGTTCTGAAGTTTTTTTATGCTACATACATATAAAGAATTAAAATTTCAAATTATACTTTATTTATAAGTAAAAATATATATAATTTTATTATCGAACCGGTGTCATGCTAATTTGTTTTGAAGTTTAAAGTACAAAGAAACAGAACTTGGTCAATTAAAGAACCAAAAGCCCAACAGCTCTGACTCTCTTCTATTCTCCAAGAATAACCCACTGATGGAGATGCACTGATCATCTCATCCCTACTAATTGATCTTCATATGCTCATAATCTATGCATCGGATCGACTATTGTACCTTCTCTTGTTTTCCACTTGGTAAGGTCAAAGGTGCATGTTCCCCATACTATATATGAGTGTTGGATCAACTCTCCCTCACCCAATATAAACAAATATAATCCATCCCACAATTGCACCTAGACTTTTTCTTCAATTAGATAAGTGGCACGTAACGCACGTAATTCATTAACCCCTCCACCGCTATAAAATTAAGACATAATCCATCCCACTATTGAAAATGCATTTTCTTATTTAAACAACCGAGGATAACCAGATATTCCTTTCTCCTAGTATGGTTAACTCACACAATTCAACAAAGCAAAACCGAGATTGAAGTAGTACAAATAAATTAAGCATAACAGATAAATAGTGGTGGTAACACAAGGATTTAGGCAAGACTGACCTGCAGTTATATGGTTACCAAATGTCTGTACTGCATTTTAACAAAACAGTCGATGGGCACCAAATTAAAGAGGACAGGCACAAGCTGAGCCACACGAATTAATTTTGCACAGAGATGCATAAATCCACATTATCATTGCGTCAAGACTTTACAAGCATTGCTTTATATTATGTGGAGTTCATACATCATATGAATGGTTATAGAACCATAAATATGAAAATTAACTAACAAAGCGGACACATGCTTAGCTACCCCAATTCTTTCAAGAGATGCAAAACCCTACATTATCATTGTGTCAAAACCTTTCAGCATTGCTTAATTTATGTTTCGGTAGTTCATATGCTTCATAATTCATATTTTTTGATCGGCCAAAATGAATTGTTATTAAAAGAGGCATAAGGAATACCTCATTATTATTTTTTTTTTTTTGAACAATTTTGACATTATTTACAGGTATATATAAGGAGGGGGGAAATGAGTTCCATGGAGCTCGAACACGCCATCCACGGAGATGAACAGCCTTAATCCAAGGTCCAATACCACTGGACCAGACCGAACCATTCAGAATACCTCATTATTTATTAGAGAAAAAGTGCAAAAAATGATATCAACTTTATACATTTTATTATTTAAAAATATTAATTTTTAACTTTTTTATTTAAAGATTAATTAAATAGTACCACTGACATAGCAAATAAATATTTTAAATAGAATGTAAGATTAATTGAATTGTAATATTGATAAAACAAATAAATTTTTTAACCAAAATATTAAATGTTAATATTTTTTAATAAAAATAATTAAAAATTAATATCTTTATTTAAAAACTAATTAAATTATTATTTTTAAATAAAAAATATAAAATTAACATTCTTATTCATACATTTCTCACTTGTTACAAAGAAAAATGGACAAATGGACTTGGGTTTAGTCCAATTAGTTTCCGCACTTTGGTAAGAAAAATGGACTTGAAATTACACATTGTTTAATTCAGAATGAAATCAGATACAATTTTGGTAGTCAGTAGTCAGTGAGCTAACACTATCAATTTACAAAAGCTAGAGTTTCACAGCTCAGAAACATCGAAAGACCCAGTTACAATTAGATAAGAGGAAAAGCATATGAGACTAGCAATGCGATTTTATCAAACGAGCAATTCTTTCAAAGAAGATAGGGCACATTCTGGTGCTAAATATAATCACCTCTCTCATCCATTCTGGTGCTATTCTTTCAAATGTCCCTAATGACGAGACGCGATACAGAAACTCTGTTTCCTCTCCAGCTGCCTTGGCTACCCATGTTAGGTTAAATGAGTAACCTGTTATAGCCACAATAAGTAGATTAGTTTCATGGTATGCAGTGACTAATCCTTTTGCACATTTATCAGTGTATGGCATTTGTTTAAGGAATAAAACTATCCCGGAAAAATTGACCTTGAACCAAACAGACCCTAACAACAATATTTTAAACATGGTTCAATGCCTCAATCAAACACATTATATAATGATAGTAGTAATAGACCTGATGTGCATTTTACTTTCTTCATGATCTTTCCTGAAATTTCTTTAACCTCTTAATGAAATTCTTCAGTTTTTTTTATCTAAAACTGGATCATGATACTTAAAGAAATTAAGACAGGTTACACTGCGTAATATTAACAATGGCAATTATGAGTGACATTGGAAACCAAGTCCAAAACATGCTTAAACTGCAAGACAAATAAGGGATGGGAAGTACTTAAATTCTAGTATGATGGCTCCAGCTTGAAAAATTACCACTTGATTGATGCAAAGCAGAAATGCACGGTCCTTCAGCTTGATTAACAGTGGATACCTCCATGCCCACTAAGCATTCAATGAGAGTTCGGAATGGACAAGTAGCTAAAACAGACCCATTTGCAACAGCACCTGCAATACAGCATTCTGGCTGCAAAATCACCAAATAATCAGAGCAGAGATGGAAACCAATCAGTTCTTGCAAAATTTCTCAGAAAGCCATACCTGCTGATCAAATGCAAGAACCTCCTGAGACAAAGTTCCGTTGGATAAGTCCTTTGCTGGTTCTCTTACCATGGAATTGTCTTGATTACTGAAATCAGGTGTTCCAGTAGCTTCTATCTGAACCCTGGAATTCCTTCCACGCTTTCTCGTCATTCTTCTGCTTGAGTTGCCAGACACATCCTCTACTGCAACTTGAAAACATCCAGGAGAACTTACATGTATATTATCATTTTTGCCACCTTTTCTATGTTCCTCAACCTGCAGTTTTTGCAGCCTCCCTAGTTCTTCAGAGAGTAACTTATCTGACGTAAATTTGAGCCATCAGCAACTTTTTGTCAGAATATTGAACAAGCAACTGAAAAACAACTAGTAACAAATGATCTATGGCCGAAAGGACTTTTCCACTAGATTTACTAGGCATTGGGAAAAAGAACAAGAAACTCAAGGGTGAATTGTCATCACAAAGATGTGTTAAGCTAGAGAAAGAACTAACAAAAAATTGCAACAAACAAACAATCAATCAATCATTGCTTACTTTTTTTGCTTTCTTCCATCAAAAGCATTTGGAGCTTTACACATTCCTCATCATTGCTGGACCTGAAATAAATGCAACATCAAATGTAAATCTCTCCAGCTATAGAACCAAAGTTTAAAAATTAGATTTTGACACTATCAGGAAATAATACATCTAGAAGAAAACATCATAACATGAATTTGGGTTGCTGACCTTATAGAAGCCACTTCACTTTTCAAGTCGTAAACTTCTGATTGCAGCTTTTCATTTTCAGTTTTCAGGTGTTGTATCAACTCCTCTGCAGCTGCAATGGCAGAAAATAAACATATTCAGGTGTTTAGAGGAATCCTATAATTATATTATTTTAAGTTCTAATTTTTTTCTTTAAAATATCCAGAAGGAAAACACATATATTGGAATAGGCTTTGTTATAAATTGCTTGCTAGCAATGCAACAAATTGGCCATGTGTTTGCTGACTCATAAGAAAAGGTCATGCCTTGGAGATATTTAATTAAAAAGGAAAAGAAGGAGAAGTATTTATCCCCAGACAATCTGTAAAGAACAATAAAAATTCAGGTCAAGTCTCATACTAAGAAGTGGATGGGATGCTACACCAAAATCACTCAACTATTTAGTGAGGGCACCACACATCAATATAATCTTTAACGTTTTGAGTGATATAAAAGACAATAGCTGTGAATATTCGAATTTATTAAATAGGATACAATCATTTGAACAACAAATTAGTTGATGAAACTATCACTGCAGTGCCATCTAAAATACACAAGACTAGAAGGAAATGTCATTTGCAGCAGTGTCAGAAAATAACTGTCCAGTCATTCTAACAAGCTTTACTAGAATTAATCAGTTTCTTTCATTCCTGACATATCAAGTGTTGAGACACTGAAGCCACTTTGCTGCATCCCATGGAATAAGAAATGGGACACGAAATACACTGAATGAAGAGTGGAGGAAGGGGAAGAGAAAGAGAGATGGTCGTTTCCATTTATTTTTAGGCTTCTCAGCTTACAACCACATCACAGCGATACTATACAGAACATTTAGAATAATTAAGAAACTGACAAATAACTCAAACAACTAAACCATGCTTCTGGCCAAGATAATAAACTTCTTCGAATTATATAATGGAGAACATTTGCATTATATTTACAAATGAAATAAATTAATATTATGAAATAATCTCTAACTAAAAACAAGGTGATTCTAGTAGTATTCATAAATGCTAGATCTCAACAATAACATGTTTAAAAAAGCAGATGAATTTGAAAAATAAACCAAAAGACAAGCTACAGTTGGAGATAAAACACAGTAATTACAATGTTTGCCCACAATAAGTGTTCTGGAAAAAAAAAAATGAAGAATCCATACCAGACACATAGTTCAGAAACTTCTTTTCTTGATCTCCGTTGATATCATCCATTTCAGACAATTTTTTCTTCTGAAAATGGAAAGCCACATATATACATCAAATTAGGTAGGGAAAAAAAAATAATTTACTTCCCTTGTCATGTAAATTAAAACCAAAGAAATAAATAAAAGTTCCAACTCTTTCGTGGCTTAAAAATTTCATCTAAGCAAACTAACTCAATATTGCAGTTTCAGCTGTAATGTTATTTCAAGTAAATGGGAGAAACAAAACAGAAAAATTGGGAATATTTCATTTTTTTCCTCCCATTTTCTTAGCAAACAAACTTATAATAATGAACTGGAACAAAAATAGGAGAAGGGAAGAAGCTATAGTTCAAATGCATAATTGAAAAGAAGACAAATTCAGAACAAAGTGGATAGAAAAAGAAAGCTGACAAACCTTGAGCTTTTGATATTTATCATAAAGCTTCGCATACAAAGCCTCCATCTGCAACAAAAAAATTACCGAAAATTTAATTTATGCATAGAGAAAAATGGGGATGATGCCGGAAGGAAAACTGTGCTAAGATTCAAAGCGCAGTTCAGGTATGTACTTAAACAGAAGGGCACAAGCCCAAATCCCTAAATTCCGCATCTTTTCCTAAAAAACCCCTAATTTCAGCATACAAAACCCAAATTTTGATGTTCTAAATAGAAGGGTAAAAACATCAAAGTGTTGAAACGTCAGTTTGGTTGCAGATCGAAGTAAGTGAAACAAAGAGCTGATGCGTCTCTTCGATTGGGTTTTCCTTCACTTTCTCAGTAAACAACCAGAAAACTTAGAGTGCAGCAATTAAGAAAACAAGTGCTTGAAAAAGGGAATTGGACTAAGAATTCGATGATTCGAAATGAAAAATATCATTATAATTGAGCAATAATTCGGGAGCGAAGAGAAGTGGTTATTACCCCTGTTTGGAAGCCGAGAAAACGCGGGAAAATGGTATTTCAAACTGCACGAAAGCGCTCTGCGACTCTCTCGGATTCTCACTCGCTGAAGCTTTCAACTTCGAAGTGAAAAGTTCGGACGAAAAGGAGAAATTAAAATGGTTTCAATTAAATGAATAAACGGTGTCGTATGATGCTCAATTGCATTTTTTTTTTTCCTATCTCGCTGGCAATTATTGGCTAGAGTTTCGTATTAGTCCTCATAGTTTTGAGCTTAATATCAATTTGGTATGCAAACATACAATTGTAACAGTTTGATTCCTAAACTCAATATGTGATTATTAATAGTACTTCTTTCCCCTTTTTGGAATGAAAACTAACTACTGTAGGTGATAAGAGATTTTGTTATTATAAATAGTTAAGAGTGTTTTTTTTTTTCTTTTACAATTAGGGTATTCTTAAATTAATTTTTACGTTCTTTGAAACTAATCTCTATTTAGATAATTTTAAGAGTGCACCCTTTATATTGACCTATTGAATTTAAGAAAATTAATTTTTCTTGTGGGTGACCCCCAAGACCTAAATTCTTAACCTTGCCTGTAAGATAACACTTGTTGATTGATATATGTTATTAATTTATATAAATCCTTAATTTAACATAATAAAAAGGCTATATTCACCTCAAAACAAATCCCTTCCCAAGTGATCTTAAAGGTGCACCCCCCATATTAACTTAGTACATTTAAAGAAATTAAATTTTTTAGGTAATGGCCTCAAGACTTGAACTTTGAACCTAATATGCAAGATAATATTTGTTGATTGGTATATTTTATTAACTTATATAAATCCTTAATTTAACATAATATAAAAGCTATATTCATCACATTTTTCAACAAAAATCACAATTAGGTTACACATGTTTAAATAACTGGTGTATATTTGTATCACTTATTTTTAATGAAATTGTGTTGCATATCAATTAGACCCAATGTTGTAGAAGACGCTAGGCAATGCTCTAGCCATAAATTTAAGTTAGAAGATGAAATTCTAAAAATTTTTGTGATTCATTTATTAGTTTACATTGGTATAATCTAAATCAATTTTTATATCAATCACTAATTTTATGTATGTATTACTACGCACTTATATGATACATACCAAATTTTAAAAATAATTAGATATCTCTAACTACATATTAGATACACACATGTAACTAGATCTTGACCATTTTTTAATATTATTCTTAATAAATTATATTATCATATCTTAAAAATTAGTCGCAAGAGAGAAATGGTCCATTTACTTAGTTCCTAAATGCCTTCTTTATATTTGAAATTTTCCTTATAACTTAAACTTCAATAATATAATTTTGTAAAAAAACAAAAATTAATATACCATATTTGACATTTTCAAAAGTTTAGGGGGGCAGCTACACTAGCTCCGTCCCTGGCTTCGCATTGGATCACATCCTAAGAGCATTTGTACAATAATGGGAATTCTGTTTCTAAGATAAGGAAATCTTTATCTTCTAATCAATTCCTAACGTCATTTTTCTTAGCCAATTAGATATTGCGGACAACTTAAATCTTATCTTTATCTATACATTCATTCATCCCCTCTCGCATAATAATCTCTTTTCATCTTGTAGTTTCAATGAGGTTCAATCTTCCTAA